TTTCCGCTGCTATTTTGAATTAAACCCAGTAGAATCTTTTCGATTGAGACTGGTTGTTGTCTAATATTTCCTTAGTATTTTAATCTATTCTGGCCACTTGTCAATCTTCAGCCTTTCCCTGTGGACAATGTCTCATATATCAGCCAAATACACCCGCCCGTGTTATATAACGTCATAACGCACAGCTTCTTGAAGATCAGGGCCGATAACTCCTCCAGTCGAGGGGATCTTGATCTTATATACACACATAGTGGGTGTACTTGTGCAGCAATGAGGTCGCGTGTTGACACAACAATTCCCTATCTATCTATTGTCTCCTCGTATACCCGGCCACTGTGTATCTGGAGGTGGGACAGGTTGGGTTACCCTCGCACTCCGTGTCTGGTGGTGCTTGGAACATGGAGATAAGGTGTTTTCCAGCCACTAACCTGTGGTGTCTAAAACGACCGCAGCATCATCATTTACTACATCAAAGTAAGAGACATCTACTACCATTTGTCCTTTCTCTGGAATAGTTTTTAATTTGAGCGCCGTATCTACGCCTTAGTAATACTTTCATGACAAATGTGTACGTGTCTGTGTGTATTTATACATACTAATTTTGTTCCTCTATCCGTAAATCTATATTTAATGTATTTTACCTCTTTTTTATAGAACTGCAGGGTAAAAGAAAGTGTACGCCCATATTTAATGGCGGCTAAAGATAAAACAAACAAGGAATGGTTATTCGATGGCGACACATTTAACACGGGTATCCAGTTATTTCTGGACCTCAAGTTAGGAGTGTTTCTGGGGCTGTTTTAACCTAGCAACATGCAGATAACGATTGTTATTCATTGCTCAGTTTCTGTTTTAAAATGTACACTTTCTAGTCCGTCAGTTTATCCATTCCTACCGATTCATTGTTATTCAATCGGCTTTGTCATATCAGCAGAACTTCAGCCATTTTGGAGTGAAAGATGTTAGTGAAAGAACTAGTGACTGTTTATCATGGATAATTTCCGTAAAAACCGGGAGTGCCGTTTTGAAATGAGCAACTTGTGTTGCACAAATGAAACTCAGAGAATTAAGAGTGCGTGTGCGCGTGCGCGTGTGCTTGTGTTTGATTTGTGTGTGTGTGTGCTTGTGTTTGATTTGTGTGTGTGTGCGCTTGTGTTTGATTTGTTGTGTGTGTGTGTGTGTGTGTGTGTGTGTGTGTGTGTGTGTGTGTGTGTGTGTGTGTGTGTGTGTGTGTGTGTGTGTGTGTGTGTGTGTGTGTGTGAGAGATAGTGCTGCTGATACTATGCCGCAGTTTAACATGGATACCCAACTTAAACACAATATAATGACTCCGAGCCACCCGGTCCTTGTTTCATCCCTTTCTGCCAATAAGAGGCGACTAACGGGATCTGGTGGTCAGGCTCGCTGGCCTGGTTGACACATGTCATCGGTTCCCAATTTCGCAGATCGATGCTCATGCTGTTGATCACTGGATTGTCTGGTCCAGACTCGATTATTTACAGACCGCCGCCATATAGCTGGAATATTGCTGAGTGCGGAGTAAAACTAAACCCACTCACTCACCTTTCTGCCAGGGTAATAACAAGTACCATCTGTTGCCGCCTTTCACCTAACGGGGTCGAACCACCGACCTTCCCCTTTCCTGGTAGAGACTCTATCCACCTGACCGCAGAGGGCGTCGCGTTCTAGCGAATGTCATTTTTTGCTCATATGCCCTGCTTTCACTGTCCTTTAAAATCTAATATCATCCAAATGAAGCAAATGAATATAGGAAACCTTCAACTGAGACTCTTGTAAATCTTCTAAATGTAGCTTTACGATTATACAAATATCAAATACATATTAAAGCAATTCTGATACATCAGACCTGCACTTCATAAATAGTAATAGCATGTGAATTTCTGTTCGAAGTTGTTGATATACTTATGTGTTGTATATGTATATATGAACGCACGCACACACACACGCGCGAGCGCACACACAATAGAATCGAACTCAGACTCTTGCGGTGACGAGCGAAAGCCTGAAACACTATCCTATTAAGACGTTTTCATGTGCATCATAGCATTTAATAAATTGTTATATATGGGGCGTTTCCGCATGTTCTGTGACTGTTGTTAGTGTCTGAACATGCGTGGTTGAATGATATTTGACTTTACTACTTGGCTTCTGGACATATTGGCTAAAGAGTCACATGGCAAACATCAAACTATTGGTATTTCTACATTCACATACATTACACAAATGTAATCGATAGGATATGTATTCCATCCTTGGAATTTATTCTGCCAATCAATCATGTGTACACTACCTCGGTCACAGGTTAATACTCAATGTATAAGAAGGAAACGCCGTCTCTTGACTGTTTTAAGAAACTTGCGGGGTCTTGATTCAAACACTACGTTATTTTTGAAAAGGACAATTTGTTTCTTATTTTGATTAGAATGACTCAAAGGAAATATATAATTAACTGGTGTAACCAGAAAAAAGAAAACTCTGCTTTTTATTACGTTAAAACTATTTTTACGAGCATACGCCGTCAAACGTACAATGGAAGGTCGTCATTTGCAAAGCGTTCAAAGGATTGTATCTGTACAGTTATGATTTATATGAGGCGGATTGCCCTGGGGCCCTCAAGTTCAAACCATATATCACAACCATACCTGAACTACACTCTCTGAGGTTTCTAGTGCCATTACATTGCGGTACGTTATTTACGGTTTCATCCCCATAAACATGTAGCAGTAACGCTGTGTTAAAGGGCAATGGAGATTAAGTCCATGAATAACTGTAAAACAGAACTCCTTCATTAACATCGAAGGGTTACGGTGCTGTGTGATGGATGACAAAGTGTTGGATCGACATGTCGCTTTATGGACCCCGAAACACATTGACAGATATAAATATGTAAATATAGGAGAAACCATAGGAGAAAAGTGTGCACCTTGCTGTGATCCGTGCTGGTAATCTATAGGAACGTCAATCTATCGACTGGGGATTCTCTGTGCATGCTGTGAGTGGCTTGTTTATTTCTCGTTACTCTGCTTTTTTATCACATCCTTATTGATGTACCCCCCGAGCCGTGACCCTACGTACAGAGGAACAAGTCAGGCCTCTGTTGTCCCACAAAATTACTCCCCGTTACATGAAGGAACGCGCACGAATGTTTTAATTGATATACGAAACCACCTGTTATACTGGCATGGGGGTGATTGTAAAGTGGGTTTCTACTGGTTGGGACTTTGATAAGATGTGAGAAACTAAACGTGGCGAGGCGATAAATGAGTCGGTATATTGCACGCGGAGCGTCTCTTTTTCGATGAAATATCAGCATCTCATCAATATCTCCGGGATCCCCTCTGAATACTTTATAGGGAAGGATATTGTTTCCCTAATTCCTTTCACGTGTGGATTAAATAAACAGTAGTTTTGTTCGTCATTTTTAAAATATACCAAATCAACATAATTCAAACATTTTATCATTTGTTTGTACAGGAAAGAGAACGACTTACTGTGTTGCCATGGATACAGAGGATGACGATGACGTAATTCCGTCTGAAGCTGTCGTGACGTAAGATCCCGTGAGAAGTGTAGGGGGACGTCAATGTAGATGCCGCGAGTGGTTTCGGTGTAGAATGTTTGGCGTGAAGACGCCCATAGCCAGATGTAGACCGACCAGCAGACAGAGGGACTTCGACACTGTGCGGACGATTGTGTCTCGGAGGTAGGACTGTATCTTGTCCTTATGCTGCAACAATTCCTTATCCGCTTGATAGTTTTCAATTTATATATTTTCAGTATAAACAACCCTGACATTTATTTCTTCACCAAACCTGATAAAAAATTGCATTTAGCAAATGTCCACTATGTCTCAGAAAACACCGACCTAGAGATTACATTACAAATCCGGTACCTATTTAACCACCACGTACTGCTTACTGGTCATTTCTTTCCCGTGTGAAAATATGCATTATGTAGGAAGACGCACGTTAAATCTCCAAATCACCACCATCACCATTACTGTTTTAACTTCAAATGCATTGAGGCATGCGTTGGTCGTCAACTAAACGTGGCATACACGTTTATATACTTTACACTAAACTATTTAGGATTCTTGGTTAGAATAACTCCTGAGGGGGTCAACAAGTGGATATACTGGTCGGTGCCATGTCATCATACCACAAGGGCCGGAATCGTTGCTCGCAGTATCATCAGATTGCCTGGAAGTAGACTTGAAATGGACTTGGTCGATGATGACAAACTTTATCAAAACGTTATTGGATGAAACATTCCCCCAAACACTGCAAGACCGTGCGCTCGGGAGACCTATTCCCGTATTTAGTGTGCAACTGTAGATATTTTTACCAATTCTGTGTGACATTACAATTTCGTCTAATTTGGGACATTGTAAAATAAAATTATATCATCAAATCGTAATACTATATACGATCGCTATCTGTAGAGGCATACATAAACGTTCTTCTTCAAAAACTTTGAAACCTCGTAATTCTAATCTTCCCAAAGTAACACACATATAACACTATTGGACATCTTATTTAACGTTAAATGCATGGAAGCAAAGCCTGTCACATAACTAGAATTTTTATTGAGAGATGTATTTGGCCTCAAAAAGGTGAATCATACTTTCATTGCTTTTCTTGCAATGAAGGTTCGAATATCAATACAAAAATTAATAATATTATCATTCAATCTCATAAATAATATTAAATAATTGATAACGGGGTTTACTCTGAGCACTATTCCCTATTGATGTTATGAAATCGTTAAAGAGCCAAATAAACATAGGTGACTGTTCAGATCAATTTATTTACACGTCTGGAATTTTCTTATAAAAATAAAGGTCGCCTATTGCACTTCAGGAATGTGAGTCAGTCTCCGGAGCCTGTGAATGAATCGATGCAACTGGTAATGTAAGAGTTGCGTCCCTTGTAAGCTCTCATGCTTGTGATTGGAAAAAAGTTATTCGGGTGACCAGTCCCCGGATGTAAACAGTATGGCCGCCATGGACAGGTCAATATGTAAATTAAGAAAACTTTTCAGTTATGGATAAGAAATAACATGGCCTATTTCCCTTCGATCGGACCATTTTATGATCCTGAAAAAAGAGCATGAAATATATGATGGCAGTGATGGAAGACTGAAATCTCGACAGTATCCCCGGGCTCAGCGACAAAACGTCATATCGCTCTCGGGGAACGAAAACTCGTCTTCCAGAATATCATCGAGAGACAACGGGGGTTCCGCGTAAGGAAGATTGTTTATGTGATTCATAGCAACGCTTTAAAACCATCCATTATTGCATTTACCATGTCATAATAGAGATCTAATTGGCAAGTTTCGAATTCCCATTTGTCCAACTTGTTTTAAAAATCAATAGTCTGAGCGCGTTGTTTATTTCTGGTTGTAATGTTGATAACTACTGACACTAGTGACAGGTCTTATCGGCATGATCATGAAAAGTAAAAATAATTTCAGGTTAATAATTTCAGGTGAAAAGTAAAAGGAATCTGAGTCAACGTATGGTCTGTTATGTACTGAGGCATTTGACATGTTTAACATTTACTCGGTAAACATTTGACACAAGGCAAACACTGACCATAGTGACAGTTTAAATATGTTGCATTTTATATGCATTATTTGAAAGTTTGTTGCTAAGTGGTATGAATATTGCATCATATTGTTGTTTAAACTCTGCAATATTCATGATATGTGACAGTGATATGGACCATGCAATGATGTTGACATCCTGAGCACAATGACAAACCATTCACCAAGTCATTGGTTCTGACCACCAAATCCATTATGTTGCCTCTTGCAACCAGTCCAGATTGCAAGGAATCATCTCAAACCTGGAGTGTTTTGGGGATCAGGCTGAACTGAGACAATGTCCAAACATAATTGGCTGGTAAAAAAGGCAAAAGATTATCAAAAACACAGCCTGATTTCGTTAACCTTATAAGCACTTGATATCCAAGAAGACTTTCAATGCTTATACTAGTTCCAGAGAAACTATGACTTTGCATTATGTTTTTTTCAAATTTCCAAAATATGACCATTATCATGATTATGCATCCACATGATCTACACTTTCAGAGTCATCACTACATTAAATCACACATGAATCTCAACATTCAAACAAAAAATAACTTGTTTACTCAACATTATCGAGTTTCATTTCAAATGCTTCATTTTGTCACACCATGGTGCATCTTTTCAAGCGCTAAGTGTTGTGAAATGATCAAATTACTGGGTAATATTAAGTTATTTAGCAAAGTTCATACCGATGACTGAATATATTGTCTTCAAATTATCCTGACTACAATGCTTTTTCAGGTTAATTCTAATTTACAGTTGTACTTCTACAACAGACAGGTTTTTAATTATTTCTTATGGTGATAAAAACAAGGAACATGGTGACTCATTATGTTCTATCAATTTATGACATCATGCATTTTTAACATAATAAAGAGTTTCTAACTGATTGTTTTCAGCAAAGTTGGTGCTAGTTGGACTCCCTATGTGAACCAGGAGAAGGGGGATGTTTACTATGTGGACGTGGAGAGGCCCAACAGGACAGACAAGGCCACAACTGACTCTTATCTGTACTTCCAGAGATTTGCACCTGAGTCAGTCAACCAACACAATGGACACGACAGTACTGATACTCCCAAGGGAGTCGTGGACTCAAATCAGAAACACAGTGATCGAAGCAGTATATCTAGTCAAGACAGGCCCCTCAGTGAGAGAGGGAAACTGTCACAGAGAAACCAAAGGAATGAAGATGTGCATAGGAACGAGGAGGTTACTGACTTCCGGCATTTTGGGAAAGATGCTGATGAGAGGAAAATGTGGAAGGATGAAAATTTCAATGATAGGACTAGTGGTAGCAGTCATGGCAGTGGTGGCCATTTTGTACGTCATGGTAGCATGGATAGTTTTGAAGAAAACAGAGACATTTCGGAGTCGGTTCAATCACGAAAAACTTACAATATTGAAAGATGGAAGGATGTTATTCTAGTGCCGGATTTTCGAACAGTGTGTAGAGATGATGGTGGGGTGGTGTTGTGTGAGAAACTCTTTGGTATTGTTTTATTCCAATTCAATCACAAACCAGGTTCAGGAAGGTCACGGAACAGCGAGTCGAGGGAGGTCCTTAAAGACAGAAAGGTTATAGTTCAGGGGGTGGTGCCCAGAACAGCTGCTGAAAGGTCTGGGAAGATACACAGAGGTATGCTTCAGTATGCATGATGTTTCTACTGCTGTACTGTACACAATGCTGCATACATGCTTCAGGCCAGAAAGATCATAGTTAATCAGATCTTTGAAAGAATTTCAATGAATCATTAAAATAGAAATGGTTTCAGCTGTAAATGTTAAATAGATTTGAAGATGAAACCCATCAGCATTGATGGTCACATGATATGCTGTATAAAGCTGACCACGCTGACCATGCTGATAGACATGATACAGCCAGTATAATAAGATAATAGATTACTCATTATTCAATATGTTGACTGACCATGCTGATAGACATGATACAGCCAGTATAATAAGATAATAGATTACTCATTATTCAATATGTTGACTGACCATGCTGATAGACATGATACAGCCAGTATAATAAGATAATAGATTACTCATTATTCAATATGTTGACTGACCATGCTGATAGACTTGATACAGCCAGTATAATAAGATAATAGATTACTCATTATTCAATATGTTGACTGACCATGCTGATAGACATGATACAGCCAGTATAATAAGATAATAAATTACTCATTATTCAATATGTTGACTGACCATGCTGATAGACTTGATACAGCCAGTATAATAAGATAATAAATTACTCATTATTCAATATGTTGACTGACCATGCTGATAACTGATAGACATGATACAGCCAGCATAATAAGATAATAAATTACTCATTATTCAATATGTTGACTGACCATGCTGATAGACTTGATACAGCCAGTATAATAAGATAATAAATTACTCATTATTCAATATGTTGACTGACCATGCTGATAGACTTGATACAGCCAGTATAATAAGATAATAGATTACTCATTATTCAATATGTTGACTGACCATGCTGATAGACATGATACAGCCAGTATAATAAGATAATAAATTACTCATTATTCAATATGTTGACTGACCATGCTGATAGACATGATACAGCCAGTATAATAAGATAATAAATTACTCATTATTCAATATGTTGACTGACCATGCTGATAGACTTGATACAGCCAGTATAATAAGATAATAGATTACGCATTATTCAATATGTTGACTGACCATGCTGATAGACATGATACAGCCAGTATAATAAGATAATAAATTACTCATTATTCAATATGTTGACTGACCACGCTGACCATGTTACTGGACCATGTAGTTATGAATTCAGGATTTGCCCCTGTTATCATAGTTATGATCTTCCATCTGACAGCAGTGTCAGCACCCGACCACTGTTGTCATGGTTTCATCACCAGGATAGACCGCCTCTGTGGAGTAGTGGTTAGATTGTCCGACCGGAGAGCCGAAGGTCGCGGGTTCGATCCCTGGTCGCGTCGTACCAAAAGACGTTAAAATATGGTACTTGTTGGTCCCTGTCTGGCACTCGGCATTAATGGGTACAACAAGGACTGGTTGGCTCGGAGTCAGTATAATGTGTCTGAGTGGGGCAATCATGCTTAACTGCGGCATGGTATCTCATTGAGCTAGCACTATAAAACCAGCTTAAGTCTGGGCTAGTACAAGCAGCCACACATACACACGTCATATGAGCGAAATATTCTAAAGTGCATTAAGGTACATTAAACCCCATTTCACCACCATCACTTTATCATGAGGATAAATGCCTGTCTGCTTGACCATGTTCACATAAACATTATGGATATTAATAATAAATATAGTTATTAAGCAAGCAACGATGAGGGCTCCTTGGCTTTAGTTCTATCTAGCCTATTGTGTCTGTGACATATTTGATGAAAGTTGTAATAGTTTTAGTTAATATGATTCATTTCACTGCTAGTCTTTGGAGATACATTACTGCAATCAGTAGTTATAATCGACACTAATAGCCCACTTGTACAGGTACATTATGGTCGATATCGTACGGTTGGTTTGAGAGTTATGGGTGTTTGAATTGTATTTGAGGGCTAGAAATTGTTTTTGACAGGCAAGCAAATCTTCCAAATACAGCCGGGGTCCCGGGGGTCATGTACCTTTTAAGAAGTTCTGGAGAAGAAATAGTTCCCTCTTTAAAAGGCTGTATCTCACTTGTTCTTGGGTCTACGGTCAAACCAATTAGTGTTCTGGAAGCACCAAGACTTCATCTATCATACTGGCACTTTCTGTGCAGAATTTGCACAAAGGTTACTGGACATCAGTTATGGAAAGTTTGGAATGTTTAGAGCTGATGGTTCCAGCTCAGCACATTTTGGGAGCAAACTACTCAGAAAACTGCTGATAAACATGTCCAAAAACTGAAAACAAAGATAACTGCCAAACAGTACCATTTAGCGACTTGACCCATCCAGGCAAAATTGTTGGGAATTCGATTGTGCATCTGTACAAGAGATTTGGAAGTGTTGGAACAATTAGTTCTTGAGATATTTGCTGTCAAACTTTGAAATTTTGAAATTAATATTGAATTATCTCCCCGTTGCTATTGGGCCTAGAGCCTAGAGATTTTTAAGGGGAATATCTTCACCTCGGTGGGCATCTCTGTGATTTTTTGTAAGCGATTCGGAGCATTGGTTTAGGAGGTATGTTTGGTACAAAAATCGGTGGAATAATGAATAATAATAATCCGAACGATTACAATAAGTCTCCTGCCTAGAGGCAAGGAGCCCTAATAATATGGTCAGCCAGACAAATATGGTCAACCAGACAAACATGGTCAACCAGACAAAAATGGTCAACCAGTCAAACATGGTCAACTGTCAACCAGGCAAACATGGTCAACCATGGTCAACTGTCAACCAGACAAACATGGTCAACCAGACAAACATGGTCAACTAGACAAACATGGTCAACCAGACAAACATGGTCAACCAGACAAACATGGTCAACCAGACAAACATGGTCAACCAGACAAACATGGTCAACCAGACAAACATGGTCAACCAGACAAACATGGTCAACCAGACAAACATGGTCAACCAGACAAACATGGTCAACCAGACAAACATGGTCAACCAGACAAACATGGTCAGCCAGACAAACATGGTCAACCAAACCAGACAAACATGGTCAACCAGACAAACATGGTCAGCCAGACAAACATGGTCAACCAGACAATGTTTCCAACTTATCATGCATATTGCTTATCGTCATTGTTGTGTAAGTTCCGTTTTAATTATTGTACACATTGTTGTTTTGATTGGAGAAACTTGAAATAACAGAACTATACTAGGATGCATAGAAGATGATACCCATGTGTCACTGTCAGAAACAAGATTATTGTTCAAGTGTTATATTGTTGTCTACTTCAGGTGACATGTTGATCTCAGTGAATGATAGTGAAGTTACATGGCTAAATATTGACAAGCTCTTCCAGGTTATCAAGCCAAAAAAGGTATGTGCAGGTAGCCCTTGTATTTGACATCTTAATGCATATTTGATAACAAAATATAATTTAATCTTTTGACCGCTAGCATGGCTAATATAATTATACCCCCGCTACGAAGTAAAGGGGGTATGTAGCGTTCATTATGTCCGTCCTTCCATCCCGAAACTTTGTCCGGAGCATATCTCTTAAACATGTTAAAGTTTACATGCTAGGTTCACCAAACTTCACACACATGTTAATCATTACCCATTGATGTGCCTTTTGCTATTTTAAATATTTTCAGAATTTTGGTTTGTTTGCTGTTTCCATGGAAACACGATTTAGTGCCAAATGTGTTTGATGGTTTTGTCTGGAGCATATCTCTTAGAGTTTACATGCTAGGTTTACCAAACTTCACACACATGTTAATCATTACCCATTGATGTGCCTTTTGCTATTTTAAAGTTTTTTCAGAATTTGTTTTGTTGGTGTTTCCATGGAAACATGACTTAGTGCAAAATGTGTTTGATGGTTACCTGGCCACAGCATATCATCGAAACTATACATGCTAGGTTCACCAAACTTAATACACAAGTTAATCATGACCCACAGATATGCCATGTGCTAAAAAATAACAATCTTCATCTACGTCCACTTCATTGTGTGCAACATGAGACAGTCAAGTTCAATTGTATGTCAGGTTTCCACGGAAGTCACAGAAAAATCATGTTTCCATAAATTATTACTGTAATCAGTACATGGCAAAACTATTATCTAACATGTATATAAAGTTTAGTAGAGTCAAAGAGAAGTCTTGTGAGCTGCTGATCCTTGTCACATTATATATATCAATATCAGTCATTTCCATGTCCCAAAGTGGGAAGTGGGGGTATGTGAGCTGTGCTCACTTCTACACTTGTTATTATAGCGTGTGCTGTATTATTGGCTTAGCAGTGTTTATGACCAGCATAACTGTATGTTAATTACAAAGCAATGTTCAATATCTGATGGGTTTAAACCCCTTAAAGCACAAAGGTGCCATTACTGCCAATTGCAATTTTATGAAGAGGCATTTTTATGCCTTACTATGTTTTGAGATGGTAAATATGATCCAAGTCATGATAACAGGTGTTAAAGTCATGATAATAATCTGATAACAGTTATGTGTGATGGTCATTGTTAATAAATTATCTTTATTAATTATCTTTATCTTCATGGTAGTAATGGTAATTGTCCTGAGCAAGCCACCAAACTGTTATAATTTACCTGCAGAATGTGAAGCTGACCATTCAGTCCCCCGTGATTGTCGGCCCCAAGCCGCCAGTCCACCCTCGAACACGCTTCCCCCGACATGACATCTACAAACGTGTCACTGGCTGTAGTGTCAAGGAAGGACAGAGGAGCCTGAGTGCTGCCACCTACACTCTGCTGTATCTCACCTTGACCGAGGCATCAGATGACTCCGGTTCCACAATGGTGAGAACAACACCAGATTACAGCCTGTCAGTAACGGTTGTTACAATGTATTTCTTGATTACAAACAGAGATTGTTGAAAGGAAAATCTTGGTCGATGAATACAATCTTTCACTTGTGCAGCTTGGGTCTCTTGATATCAACAGATCAAAGTTTGGCATGAATCAAACATATCGCCTCTGGAAAATTTGTAGCAATGCTGAAAGTTATAAACTTGTATTGACTCTCACTGATATATATAGGCAGAAGACATTCAGGGAAACTGAGATATCTTTGGCCAGACTTGAAACTAAATCATCTGTAGATTCTGTTGTGGATCTGACTTGTAATGGAGTGTTAATCATATCAGGGGAATGGTGGGGGGCTTGTTAAGCCAAAATTATATATATTCAGAGATGGTTAAAGTGTTGGCTTGTCACGTTGAAGACCGGGTTTGAATCCCCACATGGGTACAATGTGTGAAGCCCATTTCTGGTGTCCCCTGCTGTGATGTTTCTGGAATATTGCTAAAAGAGACGTAAAACCAAACTCAGTCAGTCAGTAAATTATATCAATGGTGGAGTTCAGTAATCCAGAGTTTCAGTGGTTTGACTGAAATCCTGTCTTTGTATGCTTCCAATATGTCCAAGTCACATTGAGAATGCTTTAGATAATGTTATTACACAAGAAGTAAATGTTTTGGCTTTTGCCCCATCATGTTTTGAGTATATATGTTCAGCTGTTTCTTGTTTTAATGTGACTGCTACCACTTGTGGTTGTTCCAGGACGATGTTGTCTACATGTATCCACCAGAGAACAACAAGCTGATCGGTATTCGGGGTCTGTTCCTCACCATCAACTCGTCGCTAGTTGATGTCACTAATTTTAAGGCTAAAAAGTAAGACTAATTACTGTGTGGGTAAATATTTTAGTCAGTGCAGACTGCGTTATTCAATAATTGGTCCCTGGTTTTAGTGGCTCATTAATACTGGTTACTATAGTTACTGTCAAAATTCCTAGATCCAAGCAAGATATGTTTCCTAAAATTAAGTAATCATGTAATCATGGTTTGGTGTATAGTATGAAATCAGTGTCAGCCACAGTTTATATTGATGTTGGGGAACATGTTTATGCTGAAATGATTATCATGAGTAAACTTATGAATTGTGTATTATTTCCAGCTCTTCCGTCCTGCATCAAAGTGAAGTCATTCATCTTGCCTACAGCTCTGAGAACAAAGATGTGCTGGTTCTTGGCCTTCCAGCTGACAGGTAGGAAATCCTTCCTTTTCATCATTATCTGAGTAAGACCAACTGCTGTGCAGAGTTGTCCCCCTTAGCTGCCAGTGTCCACAGGTGACAATCTGCCTCACTTTGGACTATCCCTTCACGTAAGCTGATATGACATAACTTAAATACTGTTTCAAGCAAAAATAGATACTCACTCACTCACTCATTCTTGTGTTTATGTTGATTCAATGTCTGAAAAAGTGATGTACAAGTGTATCCTGCTTCTTCATCTTGTTTAATGTTGATGGTGTTTCAGAGTGCCGCTTGCCCTTTTGAACCAGTTGATGGAAGACCTAGTCAAGCTGCTCAAGTTTATGTTTGGAGGCCTAGGCCGGTGAGTCTGCAGGAATTGCGAGGCTCAAAGTTATCTTAACTTAAGCAGCATCCTGTTGTGTATTTGCTAGAAGCTAATTAGTTATGTATGCTCAAAGTAAAGAATTGTGATGATTTTGTTTCATTCTCAGTAGAGTTTAGTAATACAATGAGGACAGTTGCTAACTGAGATTAATACCACAATATTTACTGGCCTTCAGCTTCTACCTAGAGGACAAAATCAGACTGCTGTAATGTCGATTTGTACAACAGGGTTGTTTCATCATTGCAGAGCGTTTCGAGACTGTGATAAGGAGCAGCTAGACCAGCTGTTTGCCCTGACGTTTCACCAACTCCTCACACCACAACCTGCACACCTCTCTCCAGTCAATGATCTCCCGTCTAGCTCCAAGTTTTTGTCATCCCTCTCTGCAGTCCGCAGTCTGCATCTGGCTCAAGATCAGGAGGTGAGTCAGTCAAGCTTGGAAGTCACAAATGCTGTATGTGAGTGAGTGAATGAGTGAGTTTACTTTTACACCGCTTTTAGCAATATTCCAGTAATATCATGACGGGGGACACCAGAAATAGCTTTACACATTGTACCCATGTGTGGAATCCGACACGGGTCTTCGGTGTGACAAATCGAACGCTTTAACCACTAGGCTTCTTGGGAACGATTCCAAGCAGTAAACCTACTTTGGTTGTAACAGATGGTGGAATACGTGGAAAGCCAATGTGGCTAGGATGATTGTGTGGACCATGGCCAAGAATATTGTCATGTAGCGGAAACATTGCTGAATGCAATCTGTTAAGATATGGAAAGGTGTTTGTTTAGCAGCCATGATACCTTATCTCTGATTATTTCACAGGGAATCCAGGTAAACACCGTTCTTTGTATTTAACTTTGTGTTGTACACATTCAGTCTCAGAGATATATAATTGTAGAACATGTCGGTGACTCATTTTTTAGTGAATGGCTCTTCATTATTTTTTTAGTGAATGGCTCTTCATTAAATTTGTATTTCCTTCCATTCATTTTCACATTTTTTTTATTTCAGCTCATTTGTGATGAAATACTCAGTGAATTTGAAGCAGCCGATTTTGATGAGTTTATGGTGAGTAAAGCATGTTACCAGAAGCCAGTGGGATTCATACCATATCACTAACATAAACATTAGTTCTAAGGATGACAGAGCTTTTTCAAGAATTATGATAAACTAGGGGGACAAGAGTTTCAAAGTGATGTTTTTGAATATTTAATAGATGTTTAAGCAGTATGGTTTGAAGAGAGGTGTGTAATCTGAATTTCGTTGATGTTTTACAGGAAGATGAAGAACTGAACAACAGAAGAGCATATACAATTCTTGGTACAAGTCTGTTTTACAAGGTAACAAATACTGTGTGTGGTTTACTGCACTTTCAAATGTGTATACTACCCGGGTAGTTAAAAAGATCTCAGTTATTATTTAGTGTACAGATAGAACTTATCAGAGTTCATAGGTGTTTACATCGTTGACAAAATATGGAATGAAACTAGTTACCTTGTTCATCATGGTTCCACATGTTGAACCGATGATCTTACTGAGAGACAATGGAGCTGGTGTAGAAAGGTCCCAAGTAACAACTGCATGTAAGATTTGACTTTCATGGAGTGGTGCCCTGGGGAATTTGTTGCATGACTGCCTTGTGATGAAATAGTGTGGATTGAGTCACATTTTAGAATGGCCAGACCTGGGTGCTATTGTAGAAAACAACCTTAGCGGGCTAAGTTACGGAGTGGCGGTCTTGTTAAGATCTCTTTGTATAATGGCACCCCGATTGTTTACTGTACGTAATATTGATGGAAAATCTTATAGAGGTGATAAACAACTGTGTGTGTACATATAGCAAGTACAGTAGGTGTAGAATCACACGCCTGACTTCCTGTATTCCAGTGCTACCAGTTATGCTCACACTTGCCAAGTGAAGACTCAGAGACCTTCACCTCTTTCTCCGACATCAGAGCCTCCTTGACCTTGTGTCAGCCTGCAGTCCGTGGATGAGATCGTTGTGTGCAGGAGGTGTGGCCGACTTACCGCCACCCTGGCACACACGGCCCCACACCCCCCAAGGGCCGGCACTTCCTCCTGGTCCGTCAGCTGGCTATGTGATCAGTTGCACACTGTGATGACGTTGCAGTTGTATACAAAAAGCGTATACATTGTACAAACAGTGTTACCATCGCAGTAACCAAATACTACAACATTCAACCTGAGTGCGGTCGTCATTCAACAGTATCGTTTTCACAAAAACTAAAGCGTTTATGCACTACACCTAGCTTGCCATCGGTGAATGTGTGGGCATTCTCGTTTGTTACTTAATTCCTGCATATATCCACTCTTCCTACCTATCGATACCACAATTATCCAAATACATCACAAAGATAAATGAAAGTGGCAGTTGTTAATTCTGTTTGAAATTCGTTTTTCTATGATACCATTTCTATGACGCCCATTGTAAGGCAAATACATGTATACTGAAAATAACATGCATCGTAAATCTGGCCAGTTTGGACAGATTACGAAATCCCCATTCACTGTGTTTTGTCTAATTTATAGTATTGATGTCATAATTCAAATGTCACATTTTGCTGGGAGAATTGAATTTAAGAGACAAAAAACAAAACACACCCAAGAACCCGTATCATTGTGATCAGCGGTATTTTTAATTTTTGTTGTTGATCGAATCACCAATGCTCGTTCTGAAACATTGTCGATACAACAGCTAGAGAATCGCTGAGCATGTTTTTGAAAATACGCACAGTTAACGTCAAAGTGAATTTTCGGCCATATTGCAGAGTGTTTATAAAATAACGTCACACATGCACTTACACTAATCCCAGAATTCCTCATACAGTTCAAAATATAATGACAAATGGTCTTTGTCACCAATACCAAGTGTTTCAGTAAAATCTAACGAAATATATCAGATGCCGCGCTGGGAAAGGACCATTGTTTGAAATGTAAACAAAGTCAATCTCAGATTTTACACTGTGTATCTGTTCGCCTACTTTTGTTGCATACACTTGCTCATTAGTTTTATACCATGCCCAGGAATGGTATAGTAGCAAGCGGTAGTTAAATAAAATAGGTGTATTCCAATGATTTCCGAGATTCATCACAACATATTATAGTTTCTGAAAGTGTGACGCCATGATTGACGCAAACTCACGAACACCCACGATGGAAATTCTCCACCCCTGGTCACAATGAAAACAAAATGAAAATAACAACCAGCAGATTGTCAGAATGTTTCGGACTACTTACATGTCACATTTATGTATATACGTTGCTTGAAACAACGAAATTTTCCGTCGAAAAATCCGGTGTACTCGTGTCAGTGAACACGCCATTTTGAGAGTGTCACTTCCCGATAGTGATGTCATAATGTGACACAACATTGTTACACATATTTAGTATTTTCATTGAGGTGAGGCTATGCCTGAAAATACACATTATCAATCTGTCCTGTCCTGCTGATTACATTTTCAGTTCTTATGCTTCTTTCGTATTTTCACAAACTTTTCTAACGTGATTAATTTCAGTATGATTATTTTTTGATTTGGGACTAGACAGGAGACCAGTCTAAAATCAAGTGGCACCAATTACGTCATAATCAAAGGGCGGTAACTCTGACCTGTTTAGCTCGGCATTTAGGGCCGCATAATGGCATAACATTTCAGCACTTATTTTGAGGGTTTTACTGTCATTGTAAGAAAAATGAGTGTATCATCTCAAACAGTGATATTAAATAATTAAAATATTTTACTTTGGTTCACATAAGAATAAATGTGATTTTATCGTGTACACTTCCCCTTTAAGGAACTGCCCAATCCCCAGTCTAACCAGTGCAATTGCCCCATTCCCAAGAACCATTGTCCTGCATTTGTACTCTGTGGATTCGGCACACTTCATTGCATTATCCCATAGAAAGGGCAATGACGTCTCTTGATGAAGCTTTTATGTAACATATGTTAATATTTGGGATTACACTTTCTTAGTAAAGTACAGATTCTAGTACTGTTGGGTTGAGTCCCATTCGGGATGCGAACCCACACCCTCAGAGTCAAGCACCCATGGTTAAAGTTCATGGTATTTGTTATGATGAGGATACAGTAAGTGTAGCTCAATCAAGGGAATGAATAACACTCATTGTGATGGGGCTTGTGTAGTGTGTAGACCATTCTTTGGAATGATTCCAAGCAGTAAACCTACTTTGGTTGTAACAGACGGTGGAATACGTGGAAAGCCAATGTGGCTAGGATGATTGTGTGGACCATGGCCAAGAATATTGTCATGCAGTGGAAACATTGCTGAATGCAATCTGTTAAGATATGGAAAGGTGATATGTTTAGCATCCATGATTCCTTATCTCTGATGATTTCACATGGGATCCAGGTAAACACCATTCTTTGTATTTAACTTTGTGTTGTACACATTCAGTCTCAGAGATATAGAATTGTAGGACATGTCAGTTACTCATTTTTTAGTGAATGGCTTTTCATTAAATTTGTATTTCATTCATATTTTTCATTTCAGCTCATTTGTGATGAAATACTCAGTGAATTTGAAGCAGCCGATTTTGATGAGTTTATGGTGAGTGAAGCATGTTACCAGAAGCCAGTGGGATTCATAGCATATCACTAACATAAACATTAGTTCTAAGGATGACAGAGCATTTACAAGAATTATGATAAACTAGGGGGACAAGAGTTTCAAAGTGATGTTTTTGAATATTTAAAAGATGTTTAAGAAGTATGGTTTGAAGAGAGGTGTGTGATCTGAATTTCATTGATGTTTACAGGAAGATGATGAACTGAACAACAGAAGAGCATATACAATTCTTGGTACAAGTCTGTTTTACAAGGTAACAAATACTGTGTGTGGTTGCTGCACTTTCAAATGTGTATACTACCCGGGTAGTTAAAAGATCTCAGTTATTATTTAGTGTACAGATAGAACTTATCAGAGTTCATAAGTGTTTACATCGTTGACAAAATATGGAATGAAACCCTTACCTTGTTCATCATGGATCACGGTTCTGTTGAACCAGATGATCTTCCCAGATACTGAGAGACAATGGAGCTGGTGTAGAAAGGTCCCAAGTAACAACTGCATGTAAGATTTGACTTTCATGGAGTGGTGCCCTGGGGGAATTTGTTGCATGACTGCCTTTGTGATGAAATAGTGTGGATTGAGTCACACTTTGGACTGGTACAGACCTGGGTGCTGTTGTAGAAAACAACCTTAGCGCTAAGACTACCCTAAGTCTATGTTAAGGTATTGGAGTTACGGTCGCCTTAGCTCTAAGATCGCTTTATATAATGGCACCCCGATTGTTTACTGTACCGTGATATTGATGGAAAATCTTACACGGTATTAAACAACTGTCACCCTCTTCCTTTATGTGTACATATAGCAAGTACAGTAGGTGTAGAATCACACGTCTGACTTCCTGTATTCCAGTGCTACCAGTTATGCTCACACTTGCCAAGTGAAGACTCCAGAGACCTTCACCTCTTTCTCCGACATCAGAGCCTCCTTGACCTTGTGTCCCTGCAGTCCGTGGATGAGATCGTTGTGTGGCAGGAGGTGTGGCCGACTTACCGCCACCCTGGCACGCACGGCTACCCCACCCCCAAGGGCCGGCACTTCCTCCTGGTTGTTGGCATGGTGAGGAACATTTGTTTGTGGTAGTAATACTGTCGTATAATCAATTTACTAATCAATAATTGATTTGTGTTTGTATCAGTCATCAAACTTCATGGCAGCTTTGGTTCTACTCTATTTGAAAAGTGATACTACATGTTTGATGAAGTTAGTTGTACAAAGTATGGAATGTTTGAGCATATTTTTATGAAAATTCCTTGTCTGAGATAGAAAGTTTAGCACCACATGCTAGGATATATGTTGCTATCACAGCAGAAAATCAAACACTTGTGCTGAGGTGGCACCTTCAAGATGGCATGAAACCAACTCGCCATGCATTGGTGAAGATATGCCTTTTCATGTGAGGTAATTTTGAAATGCTGAGTTTGGACTTTTGTTGCAGAAACACTTCCTGCTGGGGTGCCTGCTGGAGATGGGAGGGTGCACTCAGTGGGGGCCGGGGAAGATGGCCCCCCATCCCCTGTATGTAGACCAGGCCAAGGCCACACTGCTGCAGCTGGAGACTGACGATGTCACCATGGCCGAGTGGTGTGATGAAAGGTCAGTCACAGTGCACCATATCATGTAATGACCCTCCACACCACACCAAAGCCCCCATGCCTCGTCAGTAATCATGCAGCACTCAGCAACATGCCATGCCAAGTCGCACACGTCACATCTCCTCTGAAAACATGCACCGCACTGCTCCCCACCCCTCCGCACCGCTCCATCCCACCCCTTTGCTCCACTCCACTCCGCTCCGCACCACACTGCTCCACCTCACCGCTCTGCACTGCTCCACTCCACTGCACTGCACCACACCGCTCCACCCCACCCCTCCGCACCGATCCACTCCATTCCACTCCGCACCACTACGCTCTACCTCACCGCTCCACACTGCTCCACTGATCCACTGCACTGCACCGCCACACTGCACTCCCACCTCGCACCACACCGCTCCACCACACCTCACCACTGATTTCTGTGGTAAGAGGTAATCATCTATGGCTACATTGATTCACATATTTCACAAACTAAGACAAGAAATCATGAATGACATCACTCAAGGCTGTCACTCCAAAAGGATTTTAGTGACAACACTTGTATCTTTACATATCCTGTTTTGCAGAATACTGTCTGATGCAGGAAGTGTATCTCTAGTTGGAGCTGAGCGTTATTTGAGATCCAAGAGTTCCAGGGAAGAGTCCATCTTGATGTCCCCTGTCAAACCCATCGCTCACCAAAGAGTGGTAGGTATATTACGCAGAGAGCTGCATGGCACAATCAAGACATACATGTCTGTACTTTGGTTAAAACTGTTTAAGACTTTCATTTTGACCAGCATTCCAATATTCTGAGATAATAAACACATTAAGACAGTTCTATCCTACTTGACATCTTAGATTCAATATTTGTGTCCTCTTCCTTCTTCAGTCCCGAGTCCTCTCAAGTCCTCTGTGGATGGTGGTGTGTTCAAGTACCGCTCCAGTCCTCTTGCTGACAGAAAGCCAGGTACTTCACACACAACTACCTGTGTTTCATTCCATCATTGGCCATCTTGGTGATTTGTTGTATTGCATGTCATTGTACACTGAGGGGTGTGGATTGTTGGTTATTGTTCAGATAAGAGGTCATTTGTGGAATCTGTTACTGAACCTCAGATTTTACAGAAATTAATTTTTAATGTTTGCTCTAAAAATTATGTCACTTAAAATAGAGAATAATATAGTTCAGGGTAATGTGATATAGCTTAGTATAAAGATGATTGATCAGAACTGTGTTTGTAAACATAGAGTCTTCAAGTGTGAATATGTTTCTGAAATATGAACATAGTTAAGTGGTCGATATATTTGAACCTGTTGTCTCATGTACAGGTAGCGAGGGTGACCCAGATCGGAGTCCAAGCACGGAACACTCCACCCCAGTGATGACCAGGCAGGGCAGCAAACTCTCCTACGGATCCAATGACTCTGGAGGAAGTGGCAGCAGTACCGGTGCTCCAAGGGTAAGTTACAGACATGTACAGATACAGACAATATTGAAGACTGCTGATTGATGTGTTGTATACCATGATTACACAAGAGGGAATATATTTGATATTGACTTCTAATAAGCTGAAAGGGTTTTTGTAACCTCATTATGTATGGACATGTAGTTCATTATTAGCCATGACGATGTGACAACCCTGCTGTGCCAGTGTATAATGGTTGGTTGCTGACATACTACCACCAATACCTTATTATCTGGGGGTCTGCAGAGTGTTAGCCCATCATAGTGAACAAGCAGTTTTTCTGCTTCATTTGAATTCTGTTGACACCTAAACAAAGTACAAACTTGGAGGAAATTAGGTATGGAACTGACTATGGAGTATGACTCTGTTGTTCCTGACACTGAGTAGCTGACTGTGTATGACAAGTGTGGGTTGGTCAACATGCAGTTTCTATGGTGGCGTATGGTATGGTCATTCATGTGTTGCAGAGTAAATCTAGTCGGAAGAGTTTCCAAAATGACATGTCGAGTATCAGCAAGAGTCTGTCTGCTTTACAAGTGGAGGAGCTGCCTATACATGGAGGCCATGCCAAGTGAGTCTTACCACACATTACACATCAAACATCACACATCAAGCATCACACATCATAGATCACATACATCAAGCATCACACACATCATACATCACATACATCACACATCACATACATCACACACATCACATACATCACACATCATACATCACACATCACATACATCACACATCATACATCATACATACATCATACATCACACATCACAAACATAATACATCACATACATCATCATACATACATCATACATCATCACATCACACATCACACATCACATACATACATCATACATCATCAGATACATCACACATCACATACATCACACACATCATGCATCACATACATACACATATACACATCACACATGCATGATACATCACATATCACACATATACATCACATCATCAAATACATCATACATCACATACATCACATCACATACATCACACATCATACATCATACATCACACATCACATATAATACATCACACATCACACATCACATACATCATGTCATCACATCACAATATAATACATCATCACATCACATACATCACATCATCACACATCATACATCACATCACATCATACATCACATACACATACATCACACATCATCAAACATCATACATCACACATCATACATCACATACATCACACATCACATACATCACACATCATACCTATCATACATCACACACATCATACATCACACATACATCATCATACATCATCATGCATCACACATCACATCATCACAAAGATAATACATCATCAGCATCACATACATCACACATCATCATACATCACATACATCACATATCATCATACATCACATCACATACATCACACATCATACATCACACATCAACACATCATACATCACATCACATACATCACATCACATCATCATACATCACATATCATCACACATCATCACACATCATCACACATCATACATCACATATCAACATCATACATCACATACATACATCACATCATCATGCATCATGCATCACGATCACATATACATCACAACATCACACATCACATCATACATCAAATCACATCACACATCAAATACATCATCATCATACATCATCACACATCACATACATCACACATCATCACATCACATCACACATACATCACACATCACATCACACATCACATACATCATCATATGTCATACATCATCACACATCACATATACATCACACATCATACATCACACATCACACATACACATACATCACATCACATCACACATCACATACATCACACATCACATCATACATCATCATACATCATACATCACATACATCACATCAATACATCACACATCATACATCACATACATCATCACACATACATATCATACATCACACATCATACATCACATCATACATCACACATCACATACATCATACATCACACATCACACATCACATACATCACACATCACATACATCATACATCACATCATATCATACATCATACATCACATACATCATCATCACACATCATACATCACATACATCACACATCATCACATCACACATCACATACATCACACATCAAGATCACATCACACATCACATACATACATCATACATCACATGCATCACATACATCACATACATCACATACATCATACATATCATACATCACATACATCACATATCATCACATCACATCACATACATCACATCATGATATATCACACATCACATACATCACACATCACATACATCATACATCATACATCACATCAATACATCACATACACATCACACATCATACATCACATGCATCACATCATCATCATCACATCATACATCACACATCATACATCACACATCATACATCATACACACATCATACATCACATACATCACACATCAAATGACGCATGACACATCACATATCAAACATCATACATCACACATCATCAGCAACATCACATACATCACATCATCACATATACATCACACATCACATACATCACACATCATCACACATCATCATATCACATCATACATCATAATACATCACACATCACACATCATATACATCATACATCACATATCACACATCAAGCATCATACATCACATACATCAAGCATCATGCATCATCATCACATCACAAGCATCAAGCATCACACATCACATATCACACATCAAATCACATCACATCATCACATGACACATCATGCATCACATACATCACATCATCACATTCATGCATCACATATCACACATCAAGCATCACATATCACACATCAAGCATCACATACATCACACATCAAGCATCATCATCACATCACACATCAAGCATCACATATCACACATCACACATCATCACACATCACATCATATCATCAAGCATCACACATATCACATATCAAGCATCATGCATCACATATCACATCACACATCAAGCATCACATATCACACATCAAGTATCATGCATCACACACACATCAAGTATCATGCATCACACATCAAGCATTATGCATCACACATCAAGCATTACACATCATACATCAAGCATCAAGCATCACACATCAAACATCACACACCAACTTCATACATGAAGCATCACACATCAAACATCACATATCAAATAATCAAGCATCACACAAACACATCAAGCATCACATCAAGCATCATATATCACACATTAAGCATCACATATCACACATCACATCTCAAACATCAAACATCAAGCATCACATATCAAGCATCACATATCACACATCAAGCATTACATATCACAGATCACATATCAAACATCAAGCATCACATATCACTCATCATACATCACTCACACATCATACATCCCAGATCACACATCAAGCATCTTACATCACATATCACACATCAAGCATCACATATCAAGCATCACTAAACTCACATCAAGCATCCCACATCACGCATCAAGAATCATGCATCATGCGTCATGCATCACACATCATGTATCACACATTGCTGGGTTTTTTTCAGAATTACACGTGGTGGTGAGAATGTGTTGTTCCACTACGTGCAACTGTACGACCTCGAGGGGGTGTATGTGACTCCGTCGGACTACGAGCTGGCCTCGGTGCAGGGGGCCATCCACTGTCAGCTGCTGGACAACTTCTACCGCTGCTCGCTACACATTCGGAAACTCTTCACAGAGCAGAAGCAGGTCAAGGTAGGCACCTCTGCTGATGGCAGCTGGTACTGCAGCAAGAGTTCCAACACGTAGCTCTGTAGCATATATAATCTCAACATTATCTGTCAAAGTTTACATTGTGTATGTGCAGTTGGAAAATTACTTTAAAACTTAATGATGGTTAACATCTGGTTCAGCAAATTTTTCTTAAATTTTAATATTAACTTGTGTTGAAAATAGGTTAGATTTGTATCGATACATGACTGGAAGAAATGTCTCGGTCCTACCTACTGAAACATCTTTCACGGAAAATGACTATGAACAGTTAGGCTGCAAAGATAATTTTCCTAAATTTGCACATGGACTTTATAAGTTGTGTAGTGTTCTCTGGAAACAAGGTGAGGTGCGAGATGGTAAAGATGTTGTGTATTTACAGGAGCTGCAGCTATGTACATTGCCACATCCCCGGTTCGGTGTGAGCAATACCCTGGAGGACCTGGAGGAACATGGTGTGATGTTCAAACACGCGTACCTCACATCTCCAGAGGCAAAGAAGAACACCACTGTCCTCTGCTACTGGGTGGTTGGGTAAGCCTTCAGTCAGTTTTACCATGTTGGATCAGAACTGTTTACATCAAAGCCATTGAGTTAGTTTAACTTAAGCTGTCGTCTTGTGTCGTGTGTGAAGTTTTGTTCCCCTTTTGTCAGTGTAGTTGGTGTCAGATTCCATCACTTTCATTTGCATGTGTCATGGATTGTAAGGTCTTCCACCATGATTCAGTTTCATAGGTGTTGTGTCTGTCAAGTTACTAGCATGTGTTGGGTTTCTCACTTTGACCACTATCAAATTGGGTCATATAGAACTCAAAGAAGTAAAGGAGCACTGATTCTTTCATATCACTACAAGTAATCTATTATGACATGACAATAGCTAAAGCAATATAAAGAATGATGCAATCCTTAACTTCTCTTCAGCAATGTAGGTGTTAGGTTATAAGAAGATAAGAAATTGCTGGTTTTACAGTAAACTTATGAGATTGGAAAGTCTGGGTCCTGATACACAAAGCAAGTCATAATCCATAGGTGATTGTATTGCACTTACTTTAACTTAGATAGGGCGGGGTAGCCCAGCGGTTAAAGCATTAGCTCGTCACACCAAAGACCCGGGTTCGATTCCTCCACATGGGTACAATGTGTGAAGCATATTTCTGGTGTCCTCCACCATGATATTGCTGGTATATTGCTAAAAGCAGCATAAAACTAAACTCACTTACTCACTTAACTTAGACAGTCATGAGGCTACTGTCATTGTTGCTTATGCTTGTACCTGTGAAGATCCAGATTAGAATTGATCTTCAGCAACCCATGCTTGTCGTAAGAGGCGTGGTCAAGCTCAGTGTCATGGTTGACACATGTCATTGTATCCAAATTGCGTAGATTGATGCTCATGCTGTTGATCACTGGATTGTCTGGTTCAGACTCGATTATTTATGGCTATTTATAGCTGGAATATTGCTGAGTGCTGTGTTAAGCAAGCAAGCAAGCAACCAATGTTTATTTCACTCTTGTTTTTCAGTCGGCAGTTCCCTCTACCTGATCAGCGAGAGTTGTATGTTTGTTTCCACGAGTCAGTTACACAGAGTCTGGTAGAGGTTGCCTTTAACCTGGGCTTCGGTGTCCTGGGTGTTACTTGATGATGCTGGATCTGCCCAGAACTGATGTCAACATCCTCATCCTGAAGAGGAAGCAGGATCTCGTCACAGGAGTGTGTGTGTCAGAGACTGTTGCCCCACAGGAGTGTGTGTGTCACAGGAGTGTGTGTGTCAGAGACTGTTGCCCCACAGGAGTGTGTGTGTCAGAGACTGTTGCCCCACAGGAGTGTGTGTGTCAGAGACTGTGTGTGTGTCAGAGACTGTTGCCCCACAGGAGTGTGTGTGTGTCAGAGACTGTTGCCCCACAGGAGTGTGTGTGTCAGAGACTGTTGCCCCACAGGGTGTGTGTGTGTCAGAGACTGTTGCCCCAGGCTTTCTTCTGCATTTGTGGCTAAAATACTCAAGAACTGATATCTACATACATTACACACTCAGTCTCACCTCGGTTACCATGGTGATGTGGTGGTGTTCCGAGCCAAGAACAAAGTCTGTATACAAACAAGATATCCTGATTGAAGCGCTCATAAAATATATTTTTTTGCAATCAATATGCAAGGACGAGATCAAATGAATTCTGTTGATAGTCCTGATAGTGACATTAGTTTATACAAATTTATTTTACAATAAACACATGACTAGTTACTGAATATTAGGGGATGGACTATACTGATAAGTTATAGGAATATGATTTACACTGGAACAATGAAAATGTGACTCTCTGTACCTGAATGGACATGTGATTATGGTGTTGCAATATACAGTATTTAATCACCAATATGGCATTAGTGGTGCATGTGTATCAGTGAACATATCCCCAATAATTATCATCCATCGCTGTAATCAACACAACACTGAGAGCTGTGTGGTAGGTGAATCCTGTGAAAACTTAGAACTATTGTGTGCTGTGAAACTGTCAGCAGTTACATTCCAGTCATGCTAAATAGTTCGTATATTTTGAACTATGCTTAGATTATAGCAAATCGTTCACATGGGATTCCATAAGTCTCATTCAGAAGTGATGTTATTCCAAAATTTTGTGAATATTATTTTCATATTCTTGTCTCTTGTGTGGCAATACTCAGAATTTGTGTTTGATTTAGCAACAAATGACCACAGTTGATAATATTTGGACGTTGCTCTGACCAGATATTGAGTAAAAGAATGTCTTGTGAGCTTCTGGCATTCTCTGTTGGTTGTTTCATGCCATAGAAGAAATCCTGCTATGTGTATCAAGTTGGTCGATAATGAAATAGTGTGGATACAACACCATAACATCCCTCAGAGAAGATTGATTCTCAGAAACCAGTTATTGGGGAATACTATGCTGAAGTCAATATATTAAATGTATGGCAATACTTTATTCACAGTGTGCTGTTTGAGCTAGAATTGTGTTAATGTATGTTGCTGTAGCAGAGAAAAAGTTCATTGTTATAAAAGCCTGTTATGTGGCAACACAGTACACTGAATTCAAAATGTTTAGTAGTTAGAAAGTTTAACACTTCACTATGCAAGTACCGTTAATGAAACAAGTGTTTATCATAGCATATTGTTTATCATATTACGTTTAATATTGGGGTGCATTAAGCATTAGTTTCACCTCAGTTCCAAAGAGACATATTTGAGCTGAGGAAGATAACACTGTATGTAAAGCACAAAGTAGTCATCACTTCTTTTCAGAATTTGTACATTCTGGCAGTAAGCTCCAGGATTCATTCTTGTCAGAGGTTTTGCTTTATGTGAATTGAGCTTCAGCAGTAGTTCTTGTCAGAGGTTTTACTGTCTTGAGCTCCAGCAGTAAGTTTTTTTTAGGGGTTTTACATTCTGTGAATTGAGCTTGAACAGTTTTTTTTCAGAGGTTTTATGTTCAGTGAGTTGAGCTTCAGCAGTAGTTCTTGTCAGAGATTTTACTGTTTGTGAGTTGAGCTTCAGCAGTAGTTCTTGTCAGAGGTTTTTCGTTCTTAGTTGAGCTTCAGCAGAACTAAGTGTTGGCTAACAACATCACTGCCTTTTACCGCTGCAACCTTCCATAGGGTAGAGGTCCCATAAGCTGGGACTGATACACAGGTGCTATGTTACTGCTTGCGTAGCTCCATGTTGTACAGTCAATGTCTTGTTCAAGATAATGTCCCTGGCTGTAACAAATGGCTTCACAACTTCCACCTCAACCTATTTTATAATTTATTGTATGATTTATGTTTGATGCAGCATTATTTTATTTGAAATCTTTAATATGTAAAGAGTAATATATCCATTGTATTTCAATCCACCGTTAGCTCTTCTATGGTCAATATTATCCTTTCCAAGAACTCACCTTCATAAATAGTATTGTCAGCATGGTAAACAAACTAGATGTTACAAAGGTCAATAGCACTGTAACCAAACTCCATGGATATTGTATTTATCCATACTAAGGACTGATAAAAAAACTATTGAAAAATTATGTTTTAATGAGATAAGTCTATGTACCGATGAAATTACTTCATAAAAACAGCTATAATGATGTCCTTACTCAACACACTGTTTGAGACTGTAATCAGTGAAATGAAATGTATGGCTATTTATATATACTGAATATATTGATTTTATATTTTGTAAAATGTCTTGTTTTAACATTATTGACCACATGTACAAATGCTGATATCCATACAATCAACCACAAACTTTTAAAAGTTTGTTACAATGACTGGCTAACAGAGTTTTAACCCTTGCTTAATCAAATTATTTATTCAATTTATGCTCTATATAATATACAGGTTTGGCAACTGGATTCCCTGTTCCAAATCATATACAACTTCAAAGATAATCAAATAACAGCTGTCTGACTGTGAAATGAGCAGTATAGATTTACCCGTTGTCAGTTTTAGTTCACCAAAATCAAACTGTTTATAACTGAACTATATAACTGGTTATAGAGAGCTGGAGTCTGTGATATGAACACCAGGAGATGCCCCTCCACTCTTGTTATGTACAACACTGTATTTATTATCTACTTAAACGGACCATTTTATACACCACCTGTTTTATACATGATTCGACATGTGTTGTTTGTGAGTACATGTATTTTGTATACATGTTATTTTATATATTACCCATTTATATGGATATATCTTTTATTGCTGCAGTGCTTGTTTTGAGATGTTACTTTGGTAAACTGTGTACGTAATAGATCACAAAGTGGAACAGTGTGTTGTCTGTTGTGCTACAGGTGTATCAATTTGATCTCTGTTGAAATCCATCCAACCATTATGATATTGACATATATTGTTCATGCCATGAGTTTGTTCATACAAGTTGTTCATCTTGCAGATTATTAATTGTTAAAATCAATATTTTATCTAGCATTTTATGTGACATTTTGCATTCACATTATGGTGTATTTGAAAATTTACTTAATTTTGCTACAGTGATCTGGTTTTCTGAGGTACTGTAATTTGGCGTTCAGAGTTATGTCCCTTGGTAATGCAAAAAACCTATGATTGTCGGTTTAAATCCAGGCTCGGCACAGTTCGGCTTGTGAGCTCCTTACCTGTGCTTGTAGGTTTCACCAAGGTGTTAAAGGTGGGAGAAGCACATCACTTGGGGTTTCCCTTCCACATAAAGCTGGCAAGCCATTATTTAGCTTGAATACTGGTAACATTGGTGTTAAAACCAAATAAATTGTCTCTAGAATATTGCAATGTTGCTTTTTTTTCAGTCAGGCTAAATCTGTTTGGGGTATGGCTGTTCATTGTCATGCAATATGTATTTGGTGCCTCAAATCTGCATCAGTGCAGAAATCTCCCATATGGTAATCATGGTGAAATGATTATGAACATGTGGGTATTTGATGTGTGAAATATTACTGAATTATGGTAATTTTGTATTTGCTTAAAGTTGTTCAGACTTACGGGATGTGACTAGCTAGTATATAAATTATTATTATGTTCATGCAAGTAAAAGAATGTCTATGTTTGTTCATAGTGTTGATATACCTCTCCAAGTTTATATCTTTCTAACATTTTTTACTTCTATGTATCATGTGAATGCCCGATAAGTGCCATTATGTGTGAGACGAGCATAGGTTGTTCATAATGCCAAATTTAGTCTGTGTTGTCAGTGTGAAGCCCATCATTATAAAGCATGTTATTGTGATGCTTCTTGGTGTGATGTTTGTTGTTATGATGGATGACATTGTGATGTATGTCATGCATGTCATTGTGATGTGTGTCATTGTGATGCATGTCATTGTGATGTGTCATTGTGATGTGTGTCATTGTGATGTGTGTCATTGTGATGCGTGTCATTGTGATGTGTGTCATTGTGATGCATGTCATTGTGATGTGTGTCATTGTGATGTGTGTCATTGTGATGCATGTCATTGTGATGTGTGTCATTGTGATGCATATCATTGTCATTGTGATGTGTGTCATTGTCATGCATATCATTGTGATGCATGTCATTGTGATGCATCATTGTGATGCATGCCATTGTGATGCATGCCATCAGTGTCATTGTGATGCATCATTTTAATGTGTCATTGTGATGCATATCATTATGATGCATAATTGTGATGCATGCCATTGTGATGCGTGTCGTGATGTATGTCATTGTGATGCGTCATAGTAATGTGTGTCATTGTGATGCATATCATTGTAATGTGCATTGTGATGTGTTTCATTGTAATGCCTGTCATTGTGATGTGTTTCATTGTAATGCCTGTCATTGTGATGCATCATTGTAATGCATATTGTGATGCATCATTGTAATGTGTGTCATTTTGGTGCATATCATTGTGATGTGTGTCATTGTGATGCATGTGATTGTGATGCTTCATTGTGATTTTTATTATTGTCATGCATATCATTGTGGTGTATCATTGGGATGCATGCCATTGTGATGTGCGTCATTGTGATATGCGTCATCGTGATGTGTGTCATCCTGATGTGTCATTGTGATGTTTGTCAATGTGATGCGTGTCAAGGTGATGCGTGTCTTTGTGATGGGAGTTGTCAGTGTTAAGTTTGTCTTCGTCAGTTGTTGAGCACCTGTAGATGAAGAGGGTATCCAGACTGTCACATCTTGGAATCAAATCTGTGACTAAGTGATTGCCCGTTTCCTGGCACCCTGTCGGTCGGGTGCAACTATGAATGGCATTGGCAGGAAGTATCAACGGCAGAGATGCCAACCTCTACGATTTTATCGTATTCGCTACGAATTTTAGCCTAAAACTACGCCAATACGATAGCACTTGAGATTCTACGAAATTTGAAGAAAATTCATTACTATTTGGATATACAAAAACATATATTTTCGTCGATTAAATAATTTTTTTGCCAAAAATAGACAAGAGGAAATGTAATGATGATAATTTGGAAATCTGTTGTTGGAGGTGTGTGAAATTAAAGCTTCCCTCTTGATTAGTGTCATATTATCGTTCTCATAATCTATCATGATTTTAAGTATGTAGTTGACTACTAATTTTATGGTCAAACTACTAATTTTGATCCATGAAACTAATATTTGCCACACTTTGGGGTTAGCATCTCTGCAACGGGTGTTCCATTGATTCATACCTGGATACTGTTCATCAGAAGGGTAGACCAGGGAATAACTCCCCTGAAATGGTGTTCAGCTTTAGATTTGATACAGTGAATAGTTTCCTGGAAAGATGTTCATCAGAGAGTTGGAACACCAACAACAGGTGTTTGTATGGCTGTCGATTTTCGAAAACTTTGGGAACACTATTCATTCGCAACCATCCACTGGTCAGCCTGGTGCTGGTATTGTTGGGTCCACTGTCATTGTTTCAGCTGGTTCATTTCCCGCATCCAACATTTAGCAATAGTAGCCAAGGAACTCAGATACTAGGCCACCAGGAAATATCCGTATTTACTGATGACTTTGGCAATAAATATATTAGAATGATGATTTGTGTAGTGTTGTGTTATTGCCTTGTGGCTGGATATACAGATAGCCAGGTTCGATTCCCCACGTGGGTACAATGTGTGAAGCCCATTTCTGGTGTCTCCCGCCCTGATATTGCTGGAATATTGCTAAAAGCGGTGTAAAACCCAACTCACTTCTCTCACTCACTCACACAATTCTGAATCACATATTGGACTTGATGCCCTGCAACTTGACGCTCAGCCATTCAAGGTGCCTTGACCTGTTAGGCACTGACTGTCTGGTGCAGACCTTATTGTGTACATGTCTTCGTCATTTAGATTGAATATGGCCCAACTGTATTCTCTATACCTCTAACCTACGCAGTCAGTATTATACCTGTTAACTGCATCCTGTATCCGCGATGTGGATCAAGTTTTGACACAGCCTACAAGTACATTTATACATAATATATATGCGCTTAAACAAGTCACGAGGTGTCCTATGTAAAGACTGTAAGGCAATAAACCTGTTATATAAAGAAACTGGTAAAAGATGTACTCTAAGAGACGGATCTAGATTTTTTAAAGATTTATCTCCTCGGTCGAGGGTCAGTGGTCTACTTTATGTTCTCGTATTAATAGAATCTGAAATTCATAGAACACATTCCCGGTGACACCGAGAGGTTATATTGGGATGAGTTACTTGTACAAGGAGATATCCCGGATGTACCAGGAATAAACGGGCTTTACCAGCTTGCGGGAACTCCACATACCACTCCTGACGTCTGATGCCGGCTCCATTTCCCGCCAAAAACCCGCTGACATACACCGTTCGTGAGTATAGAGTTGATAAACCACGAGCTTACTCAGGGCGATTCTTGGATTCAAACCCACGACCAATCCTGAGAGATGCAGATCTTACAACGGACTGCAGTGGTTTAGACGTCTGGGTAACTAGTAGTGTGGTAGTCTAGTGGTTCAAGCGTTAGCTTACGTGGGCGACGCGTGGTCTATTCCCCACGTGGGCGATGTAAAGCTCATTCTTTGGGCCTCCGTCATAACCAGCGGCGCAAAACAAAGAAACTCTTGAAAATGTATACAAAATTTCAAGCGTCGAATTTCTGTCGTACTTGGGATGTAGTTCAGTCACTGACCCTAAATAGTGAGTACATTAATTCAATTGTGTAGTTATTGGACGTTGGCAATTCACCTGAGTAGTCAACAAGAACTGTAACAGTAAGTTGATGGGTATGTACTGAAACCTACCTGATAGTAATGAAGTGGGGCTTATCCTTTTTCAACCTAATGTTTATTACAGCATTAATAATTCATCTGTGGCCATGCACGAACAAACGCATTCTACACTAGCGGAAAAAACATTCCTGTGCACCAAATAAGATATAGTAAATCTTTGAAGTATTTTAACATTGAAAAAATGGTTATATTAACGGACATACCTCGTTAACGGCATGTCACACCTGTAGGGGAAGAAGCGCCGTATTTCCAATGTTAGTCCGCGATGTACAAGGCAGTTTTGCCACTAGAGAATACAATTACCAAGAGACACCAGTTGCGTGTTATGTGAGGTTTGCTGGATGTGTACACAGAACCATTTGGGAATTACTGGCAGAATTCAATACATCAAACATCTTAATGCTTACCTGTCCCTGGTGTCTCTTTACACCCTGACATTGTGGATCGTTGCGTCATTTGGTTCGTGTGGTTAAACTCCGAGTGGTCTGGGATTCTAGTTAGGGACAATCTCATGGGTTAATGTGGAATGGGTTGTCAGTAACGCTATACTGAGTGGACTCGGATTCAAGTTAGTGAACAACATGACAGGTAAATGTTAGAATTGGTTGTCATTAACGCTATGGTCAGTGGACTGGGATTCAAGTTGGTGAACAACATGATAGGTAGATGTTAGAATGGGTTGTCATTAACGCTATGGTCAGTGGACTGGGATTCAAGTTAGTGAACAACATGATAGGTAGATGTTAGAATGGGTTGTCATTAACGCTATGGTCAGTGGACTGGGATTCAAGTTAGTGAACAACATGATAGGTAGATGTTAGAATGGGTTGTCATTCTGGGATTCAAGCAAGTGAACAACATGATAGGTAGATGTCAGAATGGGTTGTCATTAACGCTATGGTCAGTGGACTGGGATTCAAGTTAGTAGCAACATGATAGTGATGTTAGAATGGGTTGTCAACATGATGGTCAGTGGTCTAGACTGGGATTCAAGTCAGATAGCAATGTTAGAATGGGTTGTCATTAACGCTATGGTCAAAGGTAGATGGTTAGAAATTAACGCTGGGACTGGATCAAGTTAGTGAACAACATGATGGTCAGTGGACAGGGTCAGTGGACTGGGATTCAAGTCAGGAACAAACCTCAGTGGACTGGGACAGGTAGATGTTAGAATATGGTCGGTGGGATTCAAGTTGGTGAACAACATAAGATGCTGGGTTGTCATTAACGCTATGGTCAGTGGATGGTCAGTGGACAGGGATTCAAGTCAGGGAGGGAATAGATGTTAGAATGGGTGTCATTAACAATGTCATTGGGTAATGTCAGAATGGGTTGTCATTAACGGAAGAATGATAGGTTTTCTCAGGAACGCTGTTGTAGTGGTCTTGATGGGATTTAAGTCAGGACAATCACTGTCATAACACTGGTGTAGGATGTTAGAATGTATAGATGTCATGTCATTAACGCTATGGTCAGTGGTCTAGACTGGGATTCAAGTTAGTGAACAACATGATAGGTAGATGTTAGAATGGGTTGTCATTAACGCTATGGTCAGTGGTCTAGACTGGGATTCAAGTTAGTGAACAACATGATAGGTAGATGTTAGAATGGGTTGTCATTAACGCTATGGTCAGTGGTCTAGACTGGGATTCAAGTTAGTGAACAACATGATAGGTAGATGTTAGAATGGGTTGTCAGAACGCTATGGTCAGGGTCCAGACTGATCAATGGCTTGTCATTAACGCGTATGCAGTATAGATCGATTCAAGTTAGTGGTCTAGAATGGGTTGTCATTAACGATGGTCTAGATCAAGTTAGTGAACAACATGATAGGTAGATGTTAGAATGGGTTGTCATTAACGCTATGGTCAGTGGTCTAGACTGGGATTCAAGTTAGTGAACAACATGATAGGTAGATGTTAGAAAAGGTTCTCAGTAACGCTATGGTCAGTGGACAGGGATTCAAGTTAGGGACAATGTCATTGGGTAATGGAAGAATGTTTTCTCAGGAACGCTGTTGTAATTGGTCTGGGATTTAAGTCAGGGACAATCACTCATAACACTTGTAGTTGTACTGTCAACTGGCGACGGGTTTCTGAACATTTTTATTAAAGTATAACATTTTCAAGCCATGGCTTGTTAGGTACTGTTGTGACTATCACATGAAAGAACGAAGAGGGCTGGTGTAGTGTTGTATCGTACAACATGACATGGGCGGTTGAACTGACGTTCGGCATGTATGTTTCCCAAACACTTTGCAGTAATGCTGGTGGTCGTGAAAACCGGAGCGTGAACAATATACATTCAGCAAATGTTCACGTCATGATGCAGCCTTTTCTTGATTTGGACACCTCAGGGTTTTGGCAAGGTGGCTTACTTACACCGAGTCACGCCTACAACTCACACATCTTGATTTCAACAGCCACTATTGTTTGCCATACCAGCGGAACTTGTTTATTTGATATTGCGAAACATGAACCTTTACAGAGTGGGCTGACAAGTTTAATGTTTCAACATGTGGGTGTGCAAGTAATGGCAATGAAATATATAAACGTCAGGTGCGTGAACGGGCAATGATTAAAATGCGGGTTTGTCCTATTTTGACCCTCTGATATTATTCCAGGGTAAAACAGATACCTGAGTTTGACGTGATGAATTCAGGCTATACCAGGCGGCTGCGTTTGACCCTCTGTTTTTATTCCAAGGTAAAACAATGCTTCAGTAATGATTCGAACTGAGAACTGAATTGTTGGAAAGGATGACTTTGACTACAGGGCTAAATATCACGGGTAGTACTCGTTCTGTCCACCACTGGTATGCTTGTCCCAGAGTCGAATTCGAACACTGTCCCCTGAGGCGTTGAACATCTCACCCACACATCACAGCCTAACAAAGTGCAAGTCGCATATTTTTACGATTTTATTCAAAATATTGTACAGCAAATGTAAACAAATATAAATGACCTAAAGGTATATACGTTGATCAGTAAATAACTGTACACCGAAACAGACAACAGACAGCACTATTAGCAGGTGAATGGATTTTGTGGACTTAAGGTCCGACAGATTAACGACAGATTTCTTATCTTGGAAGCTGAATGTATCAGATTTTAATGGTCCCTGGTTGTACAAAGAAAGGTCAATGTATGGACACTAAGGCTATTTGTAAATGTCAGTAGGAATTGTCCTGAGGGACATAGTATGCGTTCCTAAAGTAAGACAGATACGATGCGAGGCCGAAATATTAGCACCATTTCAAATTACAAATGCTAACTTGAAACATGATACATGCACGTTGTAAGTTAAACTTGAAAATGCCAGAGGTTTTTTAGAGGTGTTGAGGGAACACCTTGCATAGATCATACTTATCAGCGCAGGCACATCTTCTTTGATTGGCATTCTAGAAGTAGATGAAGAATGAGGACTATTTTTATGGATATACAACTTCTATATTCTGTATAGGGGACGTTTCGACATATATTGCTTGACAACGACATTAGAATCTATGTCGAAACGTCGCCTATACAGAATATAGAAGTTGTATATCCATAAAATAGTCCTCATTCTTCAGCGCAGGCACAGATTAGCACTTTTTGCAAAGAAAGTTCTACATTTTTTCATTGAAATTAATTACGTTTATGATTGTCACGACTGACTGTTTACATGAAGAGACTATAAGCTGTAACTACAGGTGTTACATAGTGCAGCAAACATTTAAACAATCGTAGTGCACCCTTGTAACCTGGTGCTTATCGTATCACATGAAATCTAGTTCAACTAACAGGTTCGACAACAAATTCTTCTGCTGACTTGATCACTTATAGACCTTCTACAGTTATCACTCAGCATTCATATCACACTACCATCATTAATATAACAATACCATAAATGGTGTCTTAATACATTACAAAGATCTAACCTTCGGTCAAAAATATGCCTGGCATCAAACTTGTATACTGCGGTATACACCACCCATAGCCTCTCAGTTGAGGCTGTTCCTGTTTGCCGAAGGTTCCATACTCCTAAAGCACAACCAAAACCTTCTTCTCTACCCCTTGCCTCCAGCTGGACTGCAGGATTCTGCTGTTACAGGTCCACGAAACGGTGCAGATGGTATTGCAAATAGTTGGACGTAGTGTCAATGACAAAGGACAAGGCCTTCATCGTAAAGTCCCGTGTGAGGTGCAGACAATGTACAGTTCCCTCAGACTGGATTATCTTCTGGGTAGGTGATGGTCATTTTAGTGATGTCAGTGTCAATGTTGGTAGGGAAATAGGCCGGCATCATGGAATCTGCCTGGATGCTCTCAGAAGACCCTCGATAGGACCACCCACCAGGAGCATCTGCTGAACTCAGATCTATGAACAGGTCCACTTCCTGGTCCTCCGGGATGTGTAGAAAGGGACTTGTTATGATATCATCTCCAACATTAATCAAACTTGGTTCTATTGAATCATTGCTCTTAATGGAACTGTGGATGTCCGCAGCGCTCATCTTCTTCTCCACCTTCTTCTCGGGGGTCTTGTCCTTCTCTTTATTTGAGTTTTCATCCTTCCTATCCTTTCCATTCTTTTCCTTATCCTTTTCTTTCTCTGCTCCACCGTCCTTTTCTCCATCTTTATCTCCTTCTACCTCTTCCTCCTCCTTTGGTAGATCTCTTTCTATCACCAGGTCCTTCACAGGCCAAAACTGCTTGTACTCCCCAATGATTTCGTCTATCTGTCCCTTAAAACTAATTGTCTTCAGGTTCAGTTTGATTGATTTTGAGGACAAAACGTTCTTGAGCAGCATTGGTACAAACCCACCAGCCAGAGTTGCAAGTGTCTGATTGGTCGATGACATCTGAGTTACATTTCCGAATGCCATTACCACAATCATAACAAATAACAGAAACACTACAATCACTAGAAACTTCCCAGTTGCCCTTAGGAGGTTCAGATAGACTGGTCCAGGTGCTCCGTGGATTTGAACGTCGCACAGTCTTTGGAAGAGTCGAAGAGGAATCCTAGGGGTGTCAAATGAGTCCAAGAATAGCAACAACTGACCAAGTTTCCACCTGATCTCCTTTTTGGTAAAATTAAGGTCTGTTTTTATCTCGGGTACTTCACTACTACACTTCAGCTGAAATGCAGCATTTTCTTGCATACTTGATGGAAGACTTGCTATCTTCTTTAAGTCCTCAGCTCTATCTATCATCTCTGCTATTATAGTCTTGTTAAACTCCAGATAATTCTGATATACATTACTATAGCAGTCGTGCATGTATACAAACACAAGGAGCACCATACTGACGTATTTGAGAGTGCTACTAGCATTCACTATGATCCCCATCATCGTGAAGGCTAGAACCTCAACAATCAAACCAAATGATTCTGCAAAGATGAGAGCTATGGCATAAAGAACACACAAGCAGAATACAGCACACAAAACCTGAAGACACGCTGTCTTAATGGTGGAGAATCCATTGAACCCCGTGGATGATGGACAACAATTATCTTCAGCTTCAGGCGTGGATCTATGAACAACTTTGTCCATCTTGGAAAGATGCCTGCCTATGTTATGGATCTTCCGGAACTTACGTCTTTTCGCTTTCTCTTCTTCATCCATAAATGAATTATCTCCTATCTGCCGTTTGGTCTGGTACACAATTCGGAAGGAAAGGTACACGGTTGGAATACAGTACAACACTAGAATGACAATACAAAAAGGAGACGTTATACACATATACATGGGACCGACCAACAAGGCTATAAGTCCACATTTCTTGAAAGGCCACAGACCGATTCTTATGATGACCTGCAACACACCTGTCTGGGAGATTGCGTTCATGTCTTGAAGGGCACCTCTGGAAACGGACTTCAGTTTGTCTCTAACAACAGGCGAGGAGAATCCAATAACAAATCCGGCCAGGAAATAGAAGAAATAGGCAGCTATGAAAATACCATGGCTGGGACTGTAGTGCTGGATGACGTTCGTTTTGTAGAAGACGTAGCGGAGGTTGAGATGTAGGTTACGCAGTGCCTCGTATCGATGGTCCATTTCATGCTTCTCGAACTTGTAATAGATGAATAACCGGATATAGTAGGGCATAGGCAGCAGCAGCAGCATGAGACCCTTCACAAGAGCCTGGACAAACTGATGCCAGGTCAGCTTGTGTGAAAACTTAGATTCCAAGGAAGCATACACGCTCAAATCACAACAGTCCAGAAAAGGATCTATTGCCTTGATTTTACACCGACAAAGATTATCATAAAACGTCCTCAGTAGACCTGTCGGGGGATCATTTTCTGGAATAATTCTCTTTCCTTTCACGGTTATTCGCACTTCGGACATTTTGATGGGGAGAATCTCATTCTTAGGCATTGTCTCCAACATATCCCTGAATCTCCACCAATCGGATATATCCTCCAGAGTCAGACGTTGTTTGTACTTTATCTTATAGTCGCTCTCCTCCGAGACGTAGATGAACTTCTTCACCTCCTTCTTCAGCTTTACCACGTACTCCGCCGCCACGTACATGGCGTTGTACATGTTGGCAGGGAGGAACATGGGGCAGAAACAGAACACGAGGACCTTGACAGCAGTCACCGAAATGTACAAGATGGAGATCCAGGGGTCATCTTCCTGGTCACTACACTGGATCTTCCCATGTGAGTCCCGATGGCAGCACTGGAACACGAACTCGGCGTAGTCATCATCTCCTTTCTTGATCTCCTGGTTGCAGACGTAGTCTCTGTGGGCGGTGGAGTACCTGTCCTCGTTACTGGACTGTCTTTCTTCTATCAACAGTTGGCGTATGGCGGTCAGTCTGGCATCCACTGACATGTTTCTGAGGCATCCCTGGGGAGAATCGGTGATGTTGATCTCCATTTCCTCAACTCCTATTGTCAGAATGGACATAGATAGAACATCATAGTGGAACGACAGCATCAGCAGTGTACGACCATGGCGTGTTTTGGTCTTGTACCATAGAAATGGTTTGTAATTCATGCTTACATCATTGTACAACTTATCATTTTCTTTCGTCGTGTTGGTAGTTCGTAAACTGATTTTGAACAGCACAGCCATTTTCTTCTCCATTGTTTTAACATAACTGTGAAACTGTTTGTCTTCCAGTTCCAATTTGCACATATCACTAACAAGAGCGTAGCCAACATTCGGGGATGCTGGGGTTCCCTCCCCTTGAGTGAGAGTTGTTCTGTTTTGACATTGACCTTCGCGTACGCCACAGAGAAGCGCCCACAGGATAACACACACGCTGACGGGGTTAACAAGGGACGCCATCTTGGAATGCATCTGTTGGTTCTTCAGTGACTTAGTATCGAAAACCGAGATGTTCTTTTACATCCCGTTGTCATCCATATTGACATCTTTGGATCTTTCTAACTGTTACTCTGAAACAGTAAATAATAAAATTGAATGTCATGAAGTGATAACATAAGGTAAGTCAAGAAACTGTGACATCTGTTTGTTTGTTCGTTTCGTACTCAGCGATATTCCAGCTAGAAGATGGCGGCATAATGGTCTCGACCAGACAGTCCACTTATTGAGCAACACAGAGGTGTACGGCAACACACTATCAAGCACGACCAAACTTGATGACTCCATTTTGGTCACTTCTTAAAATGGTTGCTAGGACTCTATCCCAATCCGGAAACTTCACGCTGCGCACACGTAAAGGTTCATACTGACACGTAACTGATATTTGACATAACTGGTTCATCACTGAACGATAACAGTGACCTACATCCTCGTTCCACAGTGAGAGCCTAGCGCTATAGAATAGGTCTGTGTGAATGTATGAGACATAACTCTAGCCCTGATATCGCTTTATGGCCCAGATCATGTTTCATCCATCCTTTACGATGGACAGATTATACCACGCAAACTAAAACTAAGATGCTCCCAAACAGTCGACAGCCTTGCCCCCAAACCCCACCCCAAAACAAAACATAGAAATAAAAACTCACAAAAAACACAAAGAAAGAAACTCCAAATAGGACACCAGTAAAATAGGACTATAGAAATAGGTTCATCGGAAATAAAGCTACCATTATACATTAGGAAAATAACTTGAAATATATATTGTCAACGCAAGAAAAGGACCAGTGGTTTTTGAAGTGTTCCTTACATCCAATAGGTCCTTGAAGTCTGTGACTGTCAGACGTTGGGTCCACGTTTGCAACGTCGATGTTACCAGGACAACTGAGAGTTAAGCAAGAGTCAGCACAGATCTGTGTATGCACTATTACACCCGTCAACCAACACACAACACTCGTCACTTCATATCAAGCACATTCACCGGGAACAACGATACAGACTCACAATACATGCATAGAAATATCTTATCACAGTCACAAAAGATAATCCTACTTTGAGATCTATGTTCAGCTTCAATCAATGATCTTTTGAACGTCAATGAAGCGTTGAAGTCACGTGTCCCGGAGCGAACCTGTGTCGTGACCTACGTTTCAACACGGGCGTGTTGGTGAAGAAAGTCGCACTCAATCACCGCGGTGAGAGAAAACAAAGCGAAAGACTCGTCGCCATGTGTAATGTAGGTTCACCGATCACGGTTCAAATGTCAACAAGATTTCGTAACGTTTCTTGTTTAACCGAGAGTAGGGCTGTGACGTTGTTAAGATAGGATAGACACCAATAACACTGCCATCAATGCGACCAACAGCGGGGCTATAACGGTGGATTTTTTCGAGGATTTGGCACGATTATCAGCGAATGTGACAGGACACCGGCGAGAATCTCCCTGACAATCAATAGCTGTAATAAATCTACAATACAAACAAGTATCTCGTGCGCTCCTTAATGACAGCACAACTTCACCTACGGCGTGATGTATATATCAATGATATATCAACCTTGACAGGTGCCTGTCAAAGGAAATATATGAGGTATTGTGTAATTTGGTAATATTAGTAACTCTACCACGCGCTAACAAGGATATTTGAGATTGATTATTTCACGAGGAAACATGTTGACAATGTAGCACGTCTGATTGAACAGATGATGAGCAGGCACAAAGCGAGGTGTGCTCAGAGATGCGCTGATTACACTGTGGTATATTGGAGGTGTCAGATTAGTTTATGGAAGGGGTTAAATTGACCTTCCGATATATTGCTCATTTCAGTCTAAATAGGTTTAGATATGCAATCAGCTCGTCTTGAAGCGTATTTGGATTTAAACATCCTATTTCAGCTCGTTGAGCTCTGGTGGACGTGTCATTGGTTTCAGGTCGGGTGGACGTGTCATTGGGTTGAGATGGGGTGGACATGTCATTGGGTTTAGGTCGGCTGGACGTGTGTGTCATTGGGTTCAGGTCGGGTGGGCGTGTCATTGGGTTCAGGTCGGGTGGACGTGTCATTGGGTTCAGGTAGGGTGGACGTGTCATTGGGTTGAGGTCGGGTGGGCGTGTCATTGGGTTCAGGTCGGGTGGACGTGTCATCATGGGTTCAGGTCGGGTGGACGTGTCATTGGGTTCAGGTCGGGTTCAGGTACGTGTCATTGGGTTCAGGTCGGGTGGACGTGTCGTTGGGTTCAGGTCGGGTGGACGTGTCATTGGGTTCAGGTGGAGGTTGGTGGACGTGTCATTGGGTTCAGGTCGGGTGGGCGTGTCATTGGGTTCAGGTCGGGTGGGCGGACGTGTCGTTGGACGTTCAGGTAGGGTGGGCCATTGGGTTCAGGTCGGGTGGACGTGTCATTGGGTTCAGGTCGGGTGGACGTGTCGTTGGGTTCATGTCGGGTGGACGTGTTATTGGGTTTAGGTCGGATGGGCGTGTCATTGGGTTCAGGTTGGGTGGACGTGTCATTGGGTTCAAGTCGGGTGGACGTGTCATTGGGTTCAGGTCGGGTGGGCGTGTCATTGGGTTCAGGTCGGGTGGACGTGTCATTGGGTTCAGGTCGGGTGTGTGTGTCATTGGATTCAGGTCGGGCTGACGTGTCATTGGGTTCAGGTCGGGTGGACGTGTCATTGGGTTGAGATGGGGTGGACATGTCATTGGGTTTAGGTCGGCTGGACGTGTGTGTCATTGGGTTCAGGTCGGGTGGGCGTGTCATTGGGTTCAGGTCGGGTGGACGTGTCATTGGGTTCAGGTAGGGTGGACGTGTCATTGGGTTGAGGTCGGGTGGGCGTGTCATTGGGTTCAGGTCGGGTGGACGTGTCGTTGGGTTCAGGTCGGGTGGGCCATTGGGTTCAGGTCGGGTGGACGTGTCATTGGGTTCAGGTCGGGTGGACGTGTCGTTGGGTTCAGGTCGGGTGGACGTGTTATTGGGTTCAGGTCGGATGGGCGTGTCATTGGGTTCAGGTTGGGTGGACGTGTCATTGGGTTCAAGTCGGGTGGACGTGTCATTGGGTTCAGGTCGGGTGGGCGTGTCATTGGGTTCAGGTCGAGTGGACGTGTCATTGGGTTCAGGTCGGGTGGACGTGTCATTGGGTTCAGGTCAGGTGTGTGTGTCATTGGATTCAGGTCGGGCTGACGTGTCATTGGGTTCAGGTCGGGTGGACGTGTCATTGGGTTCAGGTCGGACTGACGTGTCATTGGGTTCAGGTCGGGCTGACGTGTCATTGGGTTCAGGTCCGGCTGACGTGTCATTGGATTCAGGTCGGGCTGACGTGTCATTGGGTTCAGGTCGGGTGAACGTGTCATTGGGTCCAGGTCGGGTGGACGTGTCATTGGGTTCAGGTCGGGTGGACATGTCATTGGGTTCAGGTCGGGTGGACGTGTCATTGGGTTCAGGTCGGGTGGACGTGTCATTTAATTTAGTAATCCAAGTTATCTAAGCTGGAAGTGTCATGGTTTTATCACGGGTAAACACAATGCTGGGAGTAGTCATCGAATTGAAGATTCAAATGTGATACATTGCATTGATATAAACTGCCGATTGTAATTGACGTTAACATTCGCAAATGTCTTTGGACATTTTATAAACTCGATCAAAAATATATAATACTTTTTGCAGCATTTCCCAACCTAAAATATCTATTCTTGTAAAAACACCTAAGTGTAATAATTGCGACCCGGCAGCTCCACTAAAGCTTTGTTTCTTTACCACATGTTTCTAACTTAAATAACACCCACGTCTTTAACAGTACACGTCGCTTTTCTCACAGCAACGATAGTGTTTGGACAATATGCCTATCTGCTACATGCTCGATTTAGTGTAACTTATTGCCCATTAAAGTAACTGTAAGTAATATCAGTGAACTGTACGGTATCTTGGGTTTGCTTGACCCACCATCGGCAGATTCAATACAGTAATGGCTAATATATCCTGAAACACTATTGTCGCTATCTGGCGACAAGGGAGCAACACGACAGCACCATGTGAAGGGCAATGAGGTTCACAATGAAATACGTTGCATCTTCAGGGCAATAATCGTATCGTACAAAGACGGAGCATTGATCATCGATCAAGGAAACGTAAATGTGTCTGAGTAGGTAATTCTTATCTATAATGTAAATGTGTCTGAGTAGGTAATTCTCATCTATAATGTAAATGTGTCCTGGGCAGTTTAATGATACAAAAAAACGGGTCATGGACGATAGGGTACAGACGCAGTAATAGCTCAGTGTCGCAACGCGAGTCGTCGTCATGGAGCGACGGATGTGGGGTAGCCTAGTGGTTAAAGCGTTCGCCTGTCACGCCGAAGACCTGAGTTCGATTCCCACATGGGTACAATGTGTGAAGCCCATTACAGGTGTCACACGCTGTGATATTGCTCGAATCTTGCTAAAAACGGCGTAAAACCATACTCACTCACTCACTTGTGGATCAACACCGAATAATAAATGCGACAAAATCGTGGGTTATTGTTAATTAATCGCTCTAAAAAAACGGGTAGCGTATCCTGCCGAAGTCACGAACCGCAACTCACTATCAAGGGGCAACACCGTGCATACTGTGTAACACTCATATAGAGAGCTACGTTGTTAAATGTTAAATTTGAAAACAATGAAATTGTGGGGTATGCTTTATGCTGAAGGCTGTGTTCATATTTTCGTAGAAAGGACATCCTACCTACTTAGGAACTTGTGCCGGCTTAATTCGTGTCAACTTGATATATTAGTTGACACGAAACAACATTTGCCTCTTGGGTTCAGTCCCAGCTAGATTTTTCTGCGATAACAGACTCACAAATCATCCAGTTACACTAAGCCGTCACTCAGGGCGTTAAATCCCAGACGAGTCAACAGATTCTGTACGATGCGCTCCACACCATACCATATCTTATTGTTATTCGGAACATGGGAGACAGGGTCCCGTTTTACAAAGCTATCGTATTTTCGACTATTGAGTGAGTGAGTGTGTGAGTTTGGTTTTACGCCGCTTTTAGCAATATTCCAGCAATATCACAGCGGGGGACACCAGAAATGAGCTT